ACACACACACACACAGCCAGTGTCATTCAAAACCACACTTACAGGAGATACTTTGTTCTCTAACCGAGAAAAGAAAGCATGCAGTTTGACAGGATAAGAAGAATGTCTGCCATGGCAGGGAATTCATCCAGTCAGTATTCAAATTAGTAGTCATGTACTCTTAAACATAACATACAATTCTAAACATGTAGATAATCCCAAATCTGCCAAACCATTCAATATTTTGAATGATTTACCTGATTATCTGCCATGTACAGAAGATGCAGAAGCAATCAATTTGCTCAGTTGTATCATGTTTTGCCTACTATTAGCGCTAATGAACTAATACTCTTTGGAAACAGTGTATTCTAGGACTATAACAGTATTATCTTGGATAATCTGTAATTCGTAAAGATTAGGGGGAGCTGTTAGTCATGCTGTTTTTGTAGAGATTGTCGATTGGCACACATTTGTCACATGCTGACAAATATTCCTCACAAGAGTGCAGTAATTGTAGAAAGAGGCACCCACATTTGTAAGTACATCTCATTTTATTCATGGCTCATGTTCTTTTGAGCAACCCTCCACCCTGGTGTGTAGGGACCTTTTCAAGACGGGGAGCTTGCTAATCAACAAAAACAGCTTTTCCCTCCCTGAGACAAATTACTTGGCTTCTTTTTGGTAATGCCATAGTCAATGAAGCTTAGGGTGACTAAATCATTCCACAGGATCACACAGTGGCGTGTTTACTACTCAATTTGTGCTTTTTGTAATCTGACCACAATAGATATGGAAAATAAATGTGTTATCAATTAACAATATAAAGCTTTTCATAATCTGTTTTAAGAGAATAGAAATCCCTCCCTGGACTGGCACTAAAGCAAAACATCAGATCTGATTTAATCAAGCCATCGTGTAAAACTCATTCTCCCTCCTAAGGGCAGTTTTCGTGACTAAAAATACATTAATTGATACTGTTAAACTGAAAAGTAGCTCTGTAGCAGTCTTGATATTTGAAATCTGCTGAATGACTACTTCAGATCAAAATTCAGAATGGCAATTCTTGAGGGAACAAAGTAAAAACGCAGCAGAAAAAGTGAGGGGAACCCCTCCTAACCCTGGACGGGAAAAAAATTAAAAACAAAACAGCCTAAAAAAAAAGAGATAACTCATAAAATGCTGCTAGCGTTTCTGGCACTCCTCTTGTGTCCAATTAGTAATTCACAGAGAGAGTGCTAATATACCTCTCTCTCCACTTAGACTGGGAAATCTCCAATTAGAGTCAATCAGCAAACGGCCCGCACCACTGCTGAACGCATCTCATAGAGAAAATGGGAAAGGAGATGAATGGAGGGAGAGGAAGAGGAGGGAGTAGAAGGGATTTTTTTTATGGGGAAGTAGATGTAGGGTGCCCCTTTAAAAAAAATCTGGGCTCCAGGCATGATATGCATGCCAGTAAAGGATTTGGGAAGAGTGTCTTAATGTAGGGAGAGGGAAGAGAGCAAAGCAGTACTCTGCTGTACGTCATCTGGGTTCTTTTTTTTTACCTGCTCGATTTGACTGGTCAATCATGGGCTGTACTATTCTTCTCCTGGCGTTAATGAACCTGGCAGAGAGAGAGAGAGAGAGAAAGAGAAAAACAGAGAAGAGAAAAACAAACGTTAAATCACCCTGCATTCACACACAGAGAAATTCATCACAAGCCACCACAAAGACAAAACAGTTTTGCATGACTTAATGGCAACATTAGCCACCGAGTCCTTGAGAGAGGCGCTCACAACAAAACAGCAACAAACAAAAGGGCAATTGTGTGCTGACTTGGGAACCCAGTGAGGGATACTTTTAATGTTCCTTATGATCTATTCCCCCCTCTTTTAATAAAGCTTTTGATTACGTTTGGTTGCTATGGGCACCAGGGAGACATTCCTCAAGTATTAAGTGCAGCTTGGGCACAGAAGAACCCTCATCGTGGCACATCCCTCTCTCTCTCTCTCTGTCTTTTTTAGTCGCTCCTGCAGCCAGTCGCACACAGCAACTGTATATGTATTGTACAGTATCCCGTCTACAGTTCCTCCAAAACAACTTTGTTTCTGGAGCGCTATCACCTAGTGGAATTTCAAAGTAAGCTTTAAGTTAGCAAAGTGCAGGACACAAATGGTTCCTTTCATTACTCCCCACCATTCCACCCCCACCTCCACCATTCCCCTCTGTGGGACCCCCACTCTGGCTGCATTGTAGGGGGTTCTGCTCCCCTTCCAGCTGTCTAGAAATGAGGACCAGGCATGGGCCACTCCGTGCTTTCACAAGGTATTGTTATGTCAGCGAGCCCATCAATTAGGCTGTCTGAAGTTTTATCACCACCACAGCAGCGAATAAGTGCAGCTCCACAAAGCCTCCCCAGCCGGCCTTGCTCCTGTGGCTTTTCTAGTGTAGAGCCGGAGGTCATCTGGAGGTGACTGCCAGCCAGGGGCAACCTTTTTAACTTGGAATGGGATGCCTTGGGCCGCGTCAAACGTAAACTGGCCACTCAGGCCGAGCAAGCTCTTCAACCTTTCTTTATTTCTTCTTCCTTTACCCAGTTTTCTCTCTCTGTCTTTCACGTACTAAAAAAGTAGCATGGACTTAGCACTACAGGTACCACCATGTGGTTGATATTAAAGAGGGGTTTCAAATCACATTGGAGCTGTCCAGCATGGAGTCCTTTTCTGGTTCCAAAAAAGCAGAGGAGAGGAAAAAAAAGGCCCCACCGCCCTCTTCTAGTGTACGGGGCATAGCACCATCACTACGGCTAAAGAACTGGTCATTAGAAGGAAGGGAGAGCTGGAACCAATTTGGGCTCCTAATCCCCCATGAAGCCCTGATACCTGCCCTTACCTTCTCCAATGAATTTAAACGCCTGTAATCTGCCCGGCTCAAAGTGACATGGTTAAACGTACAAAATGCACGGTTGGGAAAAGAAAGACGCGGTGCTCATTTGCCAGGGGGCATCCAGAGTGCAGGTACGCAGGGGTGCTGCGGGCCCCTGAGAGAAAAAGATGAAACACATCCATATGAGAATGAGAGAGAACGAAAGAAGAGGACGGGAGGTGGAGTGGGCGAATGAGAGAGCTGGTTTGGAAATTATATGATTGTAATGCATGATTTGTGATTTAAGAGAGGAACAAGGCTTACGTTTTATTAACTGTGAAAGTATTTTTTGATAGAACAAAGGGGACAAAGCATTCTTAGATAGCTATGCTGTCAGAAATGCCTGCAGTGCTTTAGAGACGAAGACGCTTCCAGCATCAAAACCAGCTGAGCGAGTAAACAGTAAGAAATTCCTGGTATCACACTCCCTCTTTAAGCTCAAAGTGCAAGGCCTGCCAAAATATATGTCCGGCTTTCACCCTTTCTAGACGCACCAAGGGGCTCAAAATCACAACCATGTGCATTCTTACCTATTCTGGGACATAACCATAAACACATAATATTAGGAATGTTCTTCCAGGTGCTAAATTTGCCCATACTGTCTCCAGTGACTGCAGAGGAAATACTCTATGAGTATGCTGTATGATCAAAGTGCTGTCTTTTTTCCCCCTAAATGTTCCCTTTAAAAACAGTGTTCTTCCTCTTTTGTTTTTCCCCTTCTCACAGGAAATGTATGACATATACATAAGTATACAGAAAAATGTTTAGCTATCAGGGTGTTTGTCCTCATTGAAATGGTAACTTTTGAGTATGAAAACAGCTCACTGACGTGTACAAAAAAACATATGGATATTTTAATATTTTCCGCACAAGCTGCTTCTGAGATGGACCTGCTTCTTGTCAACATTCCCTATTCCCAACCTCTCTCTCTCTTATGGCCAGCACCCACACAGGCTCTGTTTGTCTGTACGCTAAACCAAGTTGCCACAGTCAACGGGAGGGCCCGATGTGGCGCAGCCTGGAAGGGGGGGGTGACCAAGGGCCCCTCTCGTGGCCTTAGAGCACCTTTTATCAGTCTGAGTAAAGCCAATTGAGATTATCAGACCCAGGCCTGATAACACTGTTTTCCCTCGACCCGTGAGCTGCTAATGGTGTGTGCTTAGAACAACACAACTAGGAATCTTCCAGAGATGAAGGCCAGTCAACTGGGATGGACAGAATAGATGGATGGATCTGAGGACCCAAGGCCCTGAGAGAGACACAGAGGTTGACCACAGGGACTCTGAATTCCCAACCACTCGCTAAAACATACGTGCGTGCTGTAAATCCACACATCGACACCATGGACATGACCACAACCACCGCCAGTGTGTCTGTAGGCTAACCAGAACACAGGAGGCTCACAGGGGACACTAGCTAAAAACCTCCAACCGAAAGCCCATGTTTTATTATCTACATCTGGTGGTCTAGCTTATTATGGCCTGCCTCTGCTCAATGTTAGAGCACAGAAACACCAACGCACACACATGCACACACGGAGTACCTCTCAGCATGGGAACTCCATGCTGTCTTCAAACAAATAATTAAAAGCAAGGTTAGAGGGTCATGTGGAGGTCATTTCTTGGGATACAGCTCAGAATGTGTACATTACCCCAGGAGAAAGCGGGCCGGTGGGGGCAGCGGCCCACTGCTGTTTAATGTGGCCAACTGTTTTCTTCTAGCCAATAAGGCCTTAAACACATTTTCAAGTTGCATATCAAAAACTGCTCTTGCAGTGCTAAGAATGCTTTGGAGCGTGCATGTGAATATCTATGCACATGTCAGTCAATATGTATGTGCATGTGCATGTCAGCGCATTCTTCACACACTGCTGCCAATTGGCCTAAAGTAGCACTTCCCACTGACATACCCTGAAACTGCTTGCGCGACGTGTGTACAAACACGTATGTATGTGCAGATACAATATGCATCTCCACTGGAAGAACCCTGCTCCATGATGATATAAAGTGCCAAGTTTATTAGTGCTCTGAGTGTTGTGGCTGCACAGGTCGCAAAGGAAAATAACAGGCAGATATGAATGATGGAGCCAGGGCAGCAGGAGTCCACTTGACACAGGGTCTCCGCTAGGCTGGATCAACACGGCATCCCTGGTTACTAATATCTGCTCACACACACGAGGGGGGGTGGACTTCAGAGAGTGTCTGCTTAGGTGTTAAATACCCTGGCTAGCGTACAATGTTATGCTATACCCAGAGTGTGTGTGAGTGTAGGGGATTGATGGTAAGGAGTGGTCAGAGAAAGAAGAAGAGGCTTGGGTCTAACAGGGAACTTACATAATCCTAAAACATACCATGTGGCTTTTATTCAACTTCAACTTTATGAGACTTTAATGCAACAAAAACAATTGCGTCATCATCAAAAAGGAAAGGACCTTATAAGTTGACGGATACTATAGAAAGTTACTGGAAGTTTGAAGATAAACACATCAGCTTCAAAACACCAACACAGCAAACCAGTCTGTCTGACTCAGTGCTTGTATTTCTTCTTTTTTTTTTTTTTTCTTGCTTCCTCATCTCAATCTGTCAGAAAGGCCTTGTTTCTGGTTAACTGACTTGCAGCCACACCTGGTAACTCGCTCCTGTTGTCAGCATTCCTTCCCTGAGAAATCGTCATGCCAAACCACCCTACCCTGGAGCACAGCCAAGAGAGAGAGAGACCGAGAGGGAGGGAGACGAAAGAGAGAAAGAAAGAGAGAGAGAGAGAGAGAGAGCCTCGCTGCTTGGCTGGCCAATTGCTGTGGAGATCGGAGGGAACCCAGCCAATCAGGAGTAGGGTCACTCGTTTGACGAGTTTGTGATGAAAGAAAGAAACCGAGCCAGAGCAAGAGAGAGACAGGAGAGAGAAAGAGAGAAATACTAAACATGTCTTCTCCAAGAAATGAGCACCAGACTGCTCGAAATGTAGCCCTGTAGAGCTTGCAAAGAGAGGAGGCAGCTTTGAAATTGTGACACAGAAATCGTTGACAGTTTATTGCCTTCATGGCTGACCTGCATATGCCCATTTTTTGAGAGCTCATATGCCAGGGACAGGAGGGGGGGCAAGTTTGCATTTGTCAGACAAATCCCTGGGCCCTTGTCTGTCTTTGCAGGAAGATTACATGCAACACAATCTGAATAAGAACGTGCTGAACTCAACCCCTGATCACTGCTTGCAAACATGACTGTCCTCTGGTTCCTATTAGAGCTCATTGCTTCCATACTTCTGCTTCAGACAGAAACAAAGATTCCAAACCCCCAGCGATTGAGTCACAACTCACTGGAATCAAAGGAGGAAGGCTTTAGTTTGATGCTAGCCCCACCAAAAAAGAAAGACGGGCAGAAAAGAGTAAAACACTCAGTGTCCTTTGACCAGGAAGTGCATGCAAATTAACCCCAGAAGGAGGGTGTGTTTAGTATAAGCAAACACTAATTATGGTCCAGTCAGACAGTGGGGCAGTCTGGGGCTACTGAACCTCCAACACTGATCTACTGTAGTGTCAACAACACTGATTGAATCAGCTCACATGGTCCTAACAGGCCCCCTGCAACAGTTTATATATAGCTTGCCACCAGACTGAACCTACAGTATCTGTGGATTTATCATAAACTATTACAAAGAAGCTTTTCACAGGCTCCACTCCTCCAGAATGGAGATAAAGAA